AGAAGGTTAAATGGTTTAACCACTTCCAGTCCCGAGGGACACTTTTCCCCCCTTCCAGTCCAGACACTTTATCACCCCCTTCCAGTCCTGACACTTTCACCCCCTTCCCAGTCCCGGACACCTTTCCCCCCCTTCCCAGTCCGGACATCTTTCCCCCCCTTCCAGTCCTGACACTTTCCCCACCCTTCCAGTCCGGACAACTTTCACCACCCTTCCATTCGGACACTGTCCCCCCTTCCAGTCCAATTTTCAGCTTTCAGCGCTATCATACTTTGAATGACAATTGCGCGGTCATGCAACACTGTACCCATGTGAATTTTTTAGCATTTTTTGGAGACTAAGAAAACTTTATTTTGGTGGTATTTATTCACCGCTGGGATTTTTATTTTTTTTTGCTATGTAAATGAAAAAGTCCAAAATGTTTGAAAAAAAAAAGTGTTTTTCTTATAACATTTTGCAAATAAATATTTCATCATAAATCTTGGCCAAAATGTATTCCGTTCTCTTTTTAGGAAAGTAAAAATAACCCAAATTAGTTTATAACCAAAAATTATAATTTTTAAATTTTTTTTTTTTACATTTTTATTTTATTTTTTATTATTATTGTATTTTTTTTTTTTTAACATACTGTCACCCTAGCAGTACAGGTCACCATGGTGACACTGTACTACTTGTGGGGGGTGATAAAGATTTTATTATTTTTTTTTTTACACTGATTGCTTTTACACCCATAAAGGCTGTAAAAGCAATCATTTCTCCTTCTCTCTGGCTGCATTCCTGCAGCCATTGAGAAATACTGTGAGGGCTGTGATTGGTCACCGCTTGTCACATGGTACAAGGCTGTTGTGAATAGCCCTGTACCATGTGATCTCTGTGATCATTCACAGATTTCACACGTAGTAAGCAATGATATCTTGAGGGTTAGGGACTGATGTGAATGTATAATATGTATGTAAAAGCGCTGCGTAAATTGACGGCGCTATATAAGCACCTGAAATAAATAAATGTCAGAAGTGACATCTTGCTTACTACTCTTCATGTGATCACTGATTGGCCAATCAGTGATCACATGATCGGGACCTCGCACAGAGTTCCCGTCCGACGATCGGTGTTCCACTTTGTCCGGAGGACACAACGGGCAACGGATTGCGGTGCTGCGCGCTCCCGGGGGGCGTGCACAAGCAGGGGGCGGGGAGGCCGTTTATAAACAGCCACCTGACCCGCACTGCCACCATCTGGCCGGACGGGAGGTGGTTAATCAAAAGTTTGGAGACAGCTAAACAAAAGGAAAGTATTTACAAATGATATTTTTTGGGGTTTCTTTCTTACTGGAAATCCGTACAAGTTGCTGAGGGCAGCTTTATAAAGAAGGTGAACTGTCAGAATATGTATAGGAATGATGTAGAAAATACAGATTTCATCTTTATATGAAGATCTCAGATGATAGGAGAAGTGGGGGATAAATATAGAGAATATGTGTACTTTCTATAACGAGGTGAATTGCCTCGCCCCTGGCGGATGGTACGAGGCGCATAATGTGTTTGATGCGAGGTGAAAGGATGGCGGCAAGTGCACCATATTAAGGGGAAAAAAAATCACTGGTGTGTTCCCATCCGGAGCACGCGGTCCGCGTCTGTCATCTGTAGAGTGTTTGTCGCTGTATGTAAACTAATTATAGAACCATCAAAAGCCAAACACAGAGGAGAAGAGAGGTATTGTATGAAGAGTCACTAAGCATTCCTCGCTTGCCAGAAACAGAGCAACAGAAATGTTGTGTATTTAAAGAGCGATGAGCAATCTGTTCGTTCTCCAAGAAAATGCACTGAAAACACAAGGGGCCAAGAAGTTCCATGAACACCGGTCCTAGAGCGGTCTACCTCGGAACCCACCGTGTACTACGCAATGAATGCAGTCCTGTGACTTCACAAAACGGGGAAATATTCTATAAAAGCAGAATGTTCAACGGGCAGTTCTGGGGCTGTATGAGGTCCTGCTGTGGTCTTGGAGCAGATCACATCTTCTTATAGCCCAGTGTTTCTCAACTCCAGTCCTCATGGACCCCCAACAGGTCATGTTTTCAGGATTTCCCTCAGATGAAACAGCTGTGGTAATTACTAAGGCAGGCAGTGAAACTGATCAAATCACCTGTGCAAAATAATGGAAATCCTGAAAACATGACCTGTTGGGGGTCCATGAGGACTGGAGTTGAGAAACACTGTTATAGCCCAATGTATATACATGAAGGGAGAATGTCACCAGCACACCGAGGATCACCATTATGGGTCCAAAGGTTTTAACCACTTGCCGTTTATAAACGGCCGGACGGTGGCACTCCAGGGGCGGGTTGCCGTTCATAAACGGCACCCGCCATTTCTAGCTGTGCGCGCTCCCTGGGAGCACGCAGCACCGCGATCCGGTGCCCGCTGTGTCCTCCGGACACAGTGAAACACCAATCGTCGGACGGGACCTCTGTACGAGGTCCCGATCATGTGATCACCGATTGGCCAATCAGAGATCACATGCAAAGTAGTAAGCAAGATGTCACTTGTGACATCATTGCTTACTACGTGTGAAATCTGTGAATGGTCACAGAGGTCACATGGTACAGGGCTATATATATATATATATATATATATATATATATATAAAAATAAAAATGTAAAAAAAAATGTTTAAAAATGATAATTTTTGGTTATAAACTAATTTGGGTTATTTTTTTTTTTTTTTAAAAAAAGATAACGGAATACATTTTGGCCAAGATTTATGATGAAATATTTATTTGCAAAATTTTATAAGATAAACACTTTTTTTTCAAAATTTTTGGAATTTTTGAATGGTCACAGAGGTCACATGGTACAGGGCTATTCACAACAGCCTTGTACCATGTGACAAGCTGTGACCAATCGCAGCTCACACAGTAGTTCTCAATGGCTGCAAGAATGCAGACAGAGAGAAAGAGAAATGATTGCTTTTACATCCTATATGGGTGTAAAAGCTATCACTGTAAAAAAAAAAAAAAAAAAAAAAATCATCACCCCCCACAAGTAGTACAGTGTCACCATGGTGACACTGTACTGCTAGGGTGACAATATGTAAAAAAAAAAAAAAAAACAAAAGAAAAACAAATATAAAAAAAAAAATAAAAATGTAAAAAAAATATTTTAAAATTATAATTTTTGGTTATAAACTAATTTGGCTTTTTTTTTTTTTTTTTTTACTAAAAAGATAAACGGAAAACATTTTGGCCAAGATTTAAGATGAAAGATTATTTATTTGCAAAATTTTATAAGAAAAACACTTTTCAAAATTTTTGGAAATTTTTATTTACATAGCACAAAAAAAAAATCCCAGTGGTGAATAAATACCACCAAAATAAAGCTTTATCTGTCTCAAAAAAAATGGTAAAAAATTCATATGTGTACAGTGTTGCATGACCGCGCAATTGTCATTCAAAGTGTGAGAGCGCTGAAAGCTGAAAATTGCCCTGGACAGGAAGGGGGGGAAAGTGTCCGGACTGGAAGGGGGGGAAAGTGTCCGGACTGGAAGGGGGGGAAAGTGTCCTGGACTGGAAGGGGGTGAAAGTGTCCGGACTGGAAGGGGGGTGAAAGTGTCCGGACTGGAAGGGGGGTGAAAGTGTCCGGACTGCAAGGGGGGAAAGTGTCCGGACTGGAAGGGGGGGAAAGTGTCCGGACTGGAAGGGGGGGAAAGTGTCCGGACTGGAAGGGGGGGAAAGTGTCCGGACTGGAAGGGGGTGAAAAAGTGTCCGGACTGGAAGGGGGTGAAAGTGTCCGGACTGGAAGGGGGTGAAAGTGTCCGGACTGGAAGGGGGTGAAAGTGTTTGGACTGCAAGGGGGGAAAGTGTCCGGACTGGAAGGGGGGGGGGGGAAAGTGTCCGGACTGGAAGGGGGGGAAAGTGTCCGGACTGGAAGGGGGGAAAGTGTCCGGACTGGAAGGGGGGGAAAGTGTCCGGACTGGAAGGGGGTGAAAGTGTCCGGACTGGAAGGGGGGTGAAAGTGTCCGGACTGGAAGGGGGGTGAAAGTGTCCGGACAGGAAGTAGTTAATGAACGATCACAGTTAGAGCAAGGCAACGTTTTGGAGTCTCGCAGGACTCTTTCATCGGGCATGTAACTTATACACAGCCATTTTTAACGCAGGAACGTGTGCGTTTGGATTATACACTTGAACTATGTACATGTCACTTGTCCCCAAATGATGGAGTTCAGATGTTTTCAGTGAAGGTTCCTGTTTATACCACATCATACAAAGACCTTGTAGACAATTGTGTTCTTCCAACCTTGTGGTCAGGGGTGTATTTACCACAAGGTAAATGAGGCATTTGCCTAGGGTGGCATTTTTCAGGGGGGGGGCAGCACTGCCCCTCAGAAGAAGGGACAGAAGAAGGGACACACGCGGCATGGGGACCTGGTGGGTTCTGAGAGAGGCTCCGGGTTTCATGACGGTGTATGCACAGCACAACTCTCGTTTGTGGGGATGTCCAGAGCTGTGAAGGTGAGTATCTCTCTCTCTTTTGCCATGGGGGATGGTGGCTGGTGTATGGGGGGCAGTGGTAGTGGAAGGCTCCCTTGGGTGGGAGGCAGGGGTGTTCTTGGTCAATGTCAGGTTCGGTCTGTGGGGGGCGCCAATTTTTGTGTTGCCTAGGGCAGCACACAACCTAAATACACCACTGCTTGTGTAACAGTTTGGAGAAGACCCTTTTCTGTTCCAGCATGACTGCGCCCCTGTGTACAAAGCCAGCTCCCTAAAGACATGGTGTGACCAGTTTAGTGTGGAGTGTCCTGCAAATAGCCCTCTCCTCAACCCTACTGAACACCTTTGAAATGGATTGGAGTTACAATTGTGAGCAAGGCCTTCTTATCCAACATTAGGTTGGCTCTGAGGAAGAGTCCTCGAAATGCGTCAAACAGTCGGTCATCCGGGGTTCCATCATTGCTATATGGATTGAACACCTTTGTTCATTGTGATATTCCTATGTTTTATATGTCCATTGTGAGTATGATACCTACTTTATTTCTTCAATAAATATTCTTAAACGATAATGCACTAGGCAGGTGCGCCCTCTTTTTGTTTTTTTCCATTTGCATTTAGTGACTTTGGACTACCCCGGTCTGTTGAGGGCAGCAAGCAGGGCAAATTCCAGACCATTCACATTGTCATTCTAGCCTCTGCTGAGTCCATCCCCAGCGCAGGAGCAAAGAATTTGCTGTGTTTGATTATTCAACATTAGTACCCGACCTCACAAATGGTGCAAATACCCACAAACACCCTCCAAAATCTTACAGAAAAGCCTTCCTAGAAGAGTAGAAGATTTTATAGACACAAAAAAGAGAAGGGTTAGGGATAAACTCCATATTAATGGCCATGGTTTCTACTGAAGGGTACTATTAATACTACACACAGTATGTGCTCTTCCAACATTGTGGTAACAGTTTGGTGAAGACCCTTTTCTGTTCCACCATGACTGTACCCGTGTATAAAGCTAGCTCCATAAAGACATGGTTTGACCAACTTGGTGTGGAGAAACTCAAGTGTCCTGCACACAGCCCTGACCTCAACCCTATGAACGCCTTTGGTATGAATTGGAATGCCGATAGCAAGCCAGGTCTTCTCATCCAGCATCAGTAACTGACCTCACAAGTGGGCACAAATTCCCACAGACACCTCCAAAATCTTGCAGAAGGTCTTCTCAGAAGGGTGAAGGATGTTATAGATGGGCGGTGATTTCCCAATAATGCTGATGGCTTTGAATAGGATATCTACCTCTGTGACCAACCCCTGGTGTGTGGGGCAAAACACATCAGAGGGTATGGCTGGAGCGGCACTGTGTAACAGAACCGGACCCAGACTGCACTAGGGTATTTCTGTTAGACTCCCGCTTCCCTGTGCGAACACAAATCCCCGGACACCACCGCTGACCAAACAGGAAATAAGACAGCACCAGACTCTTCTCAAGACAGGAAGTAGAACTGCTTTATTTTAACACAAGATATATACACAGGGTGGGGAAATACAACCAGGAACAGGAAACACATCAGCAGGCCGTCCCATGAGGGGGAAGGGCTGCCGGAAACACCCCCCACCAAACCAAGACACAATAGAACAATGGGATACACCATGTGGCAGCAGACAGTACAGGGACACATACATCCCATAATAGTTTGCTGGCAAGCAAGACACAATATAACAATGGAACAACCACATGGCAGGGAACAATGAACAACCCCCCACACCAATACACAATATCAGGACAGACTACCCTGTACCCCTAACAGGCACAGGGTGGGTTTCACATAAGAGGAACAAAAGGGGTCCCCCCGCCCCCAAAAGTCACTCCCGTCACACACTGGCTTAGGCCACGTAATCTCACATATTCCAAGTGCTCAGGGTCTGGTTTAGAGCGGCGTCTAACACCTTACAAGATATCCAACAAGCTAATATAGGTGCGATGGTCATGTGTCCACAACATCTGGCTGTATGTATGCAAATGTACTAGAGGCAAAAATTATTATTTTTAATGACTTATTGCCTGTCTGTGTTGAGAACATGTTAATAAAATACTCCTTTGAATGCTAACCGCCAACACTGAACAGCCAAGACATAACCACAAGCCATTAAACCTGGTTGTTACTTACCGTTTATTCCCCCACTTACCACCTTACCGATCACAAAAGCTTCATTAAAAAAAAATGCTTTCAGGTTGTAGAGGCCATTTCAGCCTAAAGATGGCAGTTTGGCTTTGTTTAATACTGTAATTATCTAATACAATTATGGTATTAAAAAAAAAAAACGTGCGCAAACACACACACTTGTTAAACTAGCCAAGTTATCCGACACTGTTAACTTTGACCTGGGCATCTAGACTTCAATGACCTTAGGAAAAGAAAGATGTATATCTGGTAAACTGCTTCTTTAACTTTGAATGAAACAATGCGGTTTGACCTGTAAAAGCCTCATTGATTTACTTGATGAAAAAAATGGTAGGCTTTAGATGGACTTTTTCAAGAAGCTCTCGAGAGTTGTCAAAAATCATTCATGCCACCAGGCAATTAGATTCAGCCTCTTCCAAACTGCAGGAGATCAGTGGGCGACTCTCCGTATAAAATCAGCCATATTTAGTTTTTAATATCACACGTTAATTGGGCGGGGGCCAGCAGGAGTGATATAATGTAACTATACAAGAAAGTAGAGATGCGAGAAAAGATTTCTCTGCTGGCCTCACAATGTGGGAAACATCACACTTCGCAGAGAGATTTGAGAGCAATCTAGTATCAGCCAAGCGCAAATGCTGCATCGCTAAATCTGCCTAATCAGATGTCTAGACAGAACCTTTCCAATATGCGAGACACAGAGGAACCAGAACTACGGGGACACAACGCAATCTCGTGTCATTCCAATTAAGAAATAAGCCATTGAAGAAAAAATACAAAAAGGAGAAATCTGCCTTGAGATTACTTTTAGTTCCGATACAACTACTGCTCTTTATAGTGTAACTGGAGTCTGAAAATAAAAAGTCGATTGGAGGCAAAGGCAGAAGAAAGAAGCAAAAAGTCTTCTACAAGAAAAACAAAACAAAAGAAAAAAACCTTCCTTTTGTCGATAGCAAAATTAAATTTTGTGTAAACATGTAAACTTTCTGTGGTGGACAGAAAATGGATCATGGACAAATGGATCGTTCCTGGGATCAGCGACAAATGGATCGTTCCTGGGATCAGCGACAAATGGATCGTTCCTGGGATCAGCGACAAATGGATCGTTCCTGGGATCAGCACAATGCTGGAGCTGGAGAAGATGCCTCCTAGGGCAGGAGCAGCACTCTGGGGAGGTACCTGAACATTACAGCAAGAGCCCTTACACCAGTGGTTCTCAACCTTCCTAATGTCGTGACCCTTTCATACAGTTCCTCATGTTGTGGTGACCCCCAACCATAAAATTATTTACTCAGTAATTATAATTCATGTGTCGTTTTACCTCCAATACTGCTGCTTTCAACACAGTAGCTGCTTTCAACACAGTAGCTGCTTTTCACAGAGTAGCTGCACAGAGTAGCTGTTTTCTACACAGTAGCTGCTCTTTACACATCGGAAATATGTGTTTTCAGATGGTCTTAGGGGACCCCTGTGAAAGGGTCGTTCGACCCCCAAAGGGGTCGCGACCCACAGGTTGAGAACCCCTGCCTTACACTATAGCAAGAGCCCGCCCACTACGGCAAGAGCCCGCCCACTACAGCAAGAGCCCGCCCGCTACAGCAAGAGCCTTGCCACTATAGCAAGAGCCTGCCCACTATAGCAAGAGCCTGCCCACTATAGCAAGAGCCCGCCCACTATAGCAAGAGCCCGCCCACTATAGCAAGAGCCTTCCCACTATAGCAAGAGCCCTCCCACTATAGCAAGAGCCTGCTTACTACAGCAAGAGCCTTCCCACTATAGCAAGAGCCCGCCCACTACAGCAAGAGCCCGCCCAACAGCAAGAGCCTTCCCACTATAGCAAGAGCCTGCTTACTACAGCAAGAGCTTTCCCACTATAGCAAGAGCCCGCCCACTATAGCAAGAGCCCGCCCACTATAGCAACAGCCCGCCCACTATAGCAAGAGCCCGCCCACTACAGCAAGAGCCTTCCCACTATAGCAAGAGCCTTCCCACTATAGCAAGAGCCTGCTTACTACAGCAAGAGCTTTCCCACTATAGCAAGAGCCCGCCCACTATAGCAACAGCCAGCCCACTATAGCAAGAGCCCGCCCAATACAGAAGCGGTAAAGTACCGCTTTAAATTCAACTTCAAAGTCTTTAGGGCCTGTTCACCCTAGCCGCACACAAATGTCCGCACGGTGCATTTTAACATGAGGGCTTATGTTCATTGTGTGCCGGCGGTGGGGTGCAATGCCTTGCATTAATACAACGGAAGGCACGGTTAACCCTTTTTTTTACCTTTACCCCTTTCGTGATGAGTGCACACACATTGGTAGCCTCAATGAAGGGGATCTTCTTCCATTGGGCTGAATTATGTGTGTACCTATGTTTGTGCTGGGAGCCGAGAGG